CCTCTCTCGCAGTGTAGGTAAGAAGGAACAGAGACACACACAAATGGACAAGCGAGGTATAAAATTCTTTGATGGATGTTTTGGAATGGATCGGGCATGGCTATCGACGGCTGTGGTCACATGCCGCCGCGCATTCTCCTGCGCTTTAATTTGAAACCTCTCCCGTGGGCTTCTCCTTTTCAGCCGGTACTCCATTTGAGTTTCCCCCCACGCCACTCTTTCCGACCCCACATTATACATACGAACGTGGGCCGATCATCTCCACCACCTTTACACGAACACATGCCATGTCTAATCGTTGACTTTAGTACTTAAACTTTAGTTTACATATTAATCCATCGGTAGCATGTGTAAATAGTATATAAATGAATGAATGAATATGACCATTGCCTGGAGTACCCGTGATCTCATTACCAAATGTCATGACATCATCGCCTTGCAAGAGTGGCAACTTTGGAGAAGCCATGGAGGGCAGGAGGATGGAAAATTGATATAATAGTCTGTAAAGCAATGGTTACTCCTTAAGCTACAGTGTTTCGTTCTTTGGGAACAACAGACCGTATGTGTAGTTCTCCATGGATTTTGCTTTCAATCGCTAGTTTGAGACAATTCCGGGAACAACAGGCTGCGTTGTACTTCTCAATGAATTTTGCTTTATACTGCTACTAACCTGAAACAAAATATTCTTATTGGTTTTATTCATCTATACATGATAGAGAGGATCCGTCTGCTCTAATCTAAGGATTGAACTTGACCTTCTCCTTGTCTTTTGAATCTTCACGCTCCATGGACTTCTTCCTGCAAACGTTGATATTGATGTTGATGTTGTTATTGTTGTTATTGTTGTTCCTCCTGTGCTTGCCTTGGCCATGAACTCCATCCATATAATTGTCCATCTCTGGAGAATCCATTAGAGAACTGGACACTGGTTCTTTTGCTGATGAATCCTGAACCCCAACACCAGTGTCCTTAGACAAGAGCCCCCTTCTACTCTGAGAAGACAATGCAATTTGGAAAGTGGCAAATACAAACACTAGAAACACCAAAGCAGTCTTCATAGCTGTAGTAGTGGTTGATCAACGCTTGCAATCAGCACTTGTTGGAGCAAGGAGGCCTTATATTATAGGCCAGCATGCATTTTGGAAAGTTGCCAAGTGGCTCAAAATACTCCATGCAATCACGTTGCTTGATATTTTGTATACTCGTCAATGAAATCTGTCAAGAAATGTCAGGATGACCGAATGGTCTAAGGAACGTACTCAAGTTCGAATGCGTGGGTTCAAATGCCACTTTCAGCATTGAGTTTTTCCAAGGAAACTATTCCTAAGTTTATTTGCGAAAACTATTACCGGGCGTTCCTGTGTGAGCACAGCAAGAAGGCCCCCTCAGTGGCAAAACAAAAGGTTCAAGACTTTGGACTCCCATCTCCACCTGTTCTGCTCAGAAGGCTCAGGACATAATGCTAGAGCCGAGCAGATCAATCCATACCGGGTTCCACATCGAGATGACGCACTGCGAAAGCTCTCGACACAGATAGAAAGGAGTGCTAGAGAAGTTTTTTCTGGAGTGCAGAAATGGTGTGAAACATATTATTTTATTGCAAAAAACTCTACAAATAACAAGTTCCTAAGGATAAGTCTTCTTTTCCTTCTCCTTCTCCTCCTCACGTTTGTGATCCATAGACTCGTTCTTGCAGAAGTTGATGTTGATGTTGATGTTGTTGTTGTTATTATTCTTGCCCTTCCTGTGCTTGCCTAGACCGTCACCCCGTTTCTGGTTCTCATAATCATCATCCTTCTGTGGGAAATCCTCAAAGACTTCGACATCAACATCATCAGCATCCAAATCCTCAAAGATATCTACATCAACATCATCGGCATCCAAACCCCTTCCACTCGAAGTAGACAGTACAATGTGGAATGTGGCAAACACAAAGATGAGAAACACCAAAGAAGCCTTCATGATGTGTAATAGCAATATGCCCAAATGTGATTGATAATTGGATCTTGGAGAGGCTTTATATTAACATCTAGAATGCATGCCTATCAGCCAAGTGTTAATTCCATGCAAAAGCATCAGTGGTATTGTAATTTAAAAGGTAAATTGAATTAGTATCTAAATATAGTCTCCTCTCAAAGTGGATGGAAATCAATCTAAAATCTAAACTAAAATCTTCATTTAGGAAGAAATTCATCTGAAAGGAGCTAAAAGTAATTGATATGGATATATATTGAGAACTCTTAATCAATCACTCAAAGTCCGCCACCTTCTTCTCTCCAAAAGTATGTAACGGCGAGAAGCTAACGTATAAATATATATCTAGCACCTGATGAAAAAAAGTAGAACGTAAATTAATTTTTATGAAACAATAAACTACAACCTTATTAAGTTTGCTTATTAGATATGAAGGGCTGATACACGTCTGGAAGGAAGTCTCGATCCATCCCAAGATGAAACAGCAAGAAACTCTCCCTGAATCTGTACGCTAGAAAAAGCACAAGTTTGAGGAGAAACCACAGCCTCCAAAACTTCCTCGAGAGTTTTGGCGACATGCGACATGGACGGCCTCTCCTTCCCACTGGCTTTGGTACACTCCAGCGCCAACTTCACTGCACGGTAGAGTGGCTCCGGCTCCAAAGGCACTGCAAGTCTAGCATCCAACACCGAGCTCCACTCGTCACGTTCCACCAGATCGAGCACCCAAGCAACCAGACTCTGGATCTCTCTTGACAGATCAATTGGCTTTTGACCAGACATGAGCTCGAGAAGAACCACTCCAAAGCTGTAGACGTCGCTTGTGGTTGTGAGCTGGGAGGAGTTCCCATAGTCAGGATCCAAGTAACCGGGAGTTCCAACGATAGTCAAATTGCTCAGGTGTGTTGCATTGTCTTGAGGACCGCACACCGATAGCCCAAAGTCTGATACTTTTGCGTTCCAGTCGCAATCCAGGAGGATGTTTGACGATTTCACGTCCCTGTGGGTGACGCTGGGTGATACATACCTGTGGAGGTACTCGAGGCCTCGGGCAGCTTGTGCCGAGATTTTGATCCTTGTTGTCCATTCCAGTGAATGGGAAGAATACAAGTTGTCGTGTAGGGTGCCTCTAGACATGAATTCGAAGACCAGGAGCTTCTCTTGCTCGCAGTATCCGATTAAGTTTACGACGCAAGAGTGGTGTGTTCTGGCAAGAAGTTTTAGCTCCTTTCTAAACATTTCACCAGACCTGTTTTTTTTTTTTTCAATTTAAAGAAAAGGAAGTAAATACTGAAGAAAAATAAATACCTTGTAGAGGCCTTTGCTTGTTTGATAGCAACTTGACGACCATTGTGCAGAACTCCTTTATACACTGTTGCAAATGAACCTTTTCCCAATATCGAGTCATCACAATAATTGTTCGTGGCTGCTTGTAGCTCAGACGCCGAAAGACATACAACTCCATGCCCAGAATCGTTAATCTTTCCAAACTTTGCAGCTCCACATTTCAAATACACCAAAATTCCCATAGCTGCAGCTCCAAAACAAGTTACATACAGCACAAACATAATCCTCCTCCAGCTCTTTGATATCTCAACTCCACTAGTAATATCCAATTTGCCACATTTCCTATCAAAGCTATCTCCACAAGGAGAGATCTCTACGTTGTCGCCAACACAAATGGAGCAGTCCAAACACACTTTGTCAGAGAGTGAGGGGCAAGATGTACTTCCATGCAGCTCGTATTGGTTTTTTCCACACCTGCTTGTGCAAACTCCCTGGCTCGCATTGAAGTCTTCGTTCTTCAATACACCAGAGTTTCCCCAACACAAGATCTTCATAGCCCTGTCCAGCCTCACACCACAAGTGTAGAAATCACCAGCTGAAATGGCTGAAAATGTGGCGTTCTCCGGAACTCGAAGTTGCGCAAACCTGTTATCTCCCCAGCACACGGTTTGGTGATTGTCTGCACGCACTCCACAAGTATGGCGGAATCCTCCAGTTATGTAAGAAAACTTGAGACCAGGAGGAGGAATTGCAGGACTGGGATTGCTCTTTTCACCTCCCCAGCAAAGAGTTTCTCCTGCTTGAGCTGTTATTCCACAAACTACATATGCTCCAGCAAACAAAGCCATGAACTTCTTATCATTTGCTGGTTTTGGGATTGCACCTGGCACTTCTCCCCAGCATGCTGTTGCTCCATCTAGTGTCAGGCCACAGGAGAAACCACTTCCAGATGAGATCGACACGAAGTCTTGGTTTGGAACGGTAGAAGAGTTTATACTCCCCCAACAGTCGGCTCTATTGTCGTAGCTTCGTATTGCACACGCATGGCTTGCACCACTGCTTATGGCTGTATAGCTAACATTTAGAAAACTTTGTGGAGCTTCGAGACTGCCCCAGCATATTGGAAAATGATTGCCATATTCTAGCCCACATACAAATTTCCCTCCAGAGGATATGGTGACTAGTTGCTTGTCTTGGGGTTGTTCGTGTGTGCGAATGGATCCAAAACAAACGGGTGCCATGGTTCCAGCTTGTAAAATACATACCAAGTAAGAACCTGTATTTTTTGGAGTGAAATAGCTGAGAGTCCACAGTGAACCTAGCGTGGTCATGTAGCCAAAGCTTGCTGTAAGATGCAAGTAATTAAGCTCCACAATCGATAATAGCAACACTGTATGGAGAGACATTCTTGTTGGAGCATGATAATAGAGATCTTTTGAAGGAAAAGCGTTCAACAGACAAAATACTCTTCTAAGGATCATAGTCCTCCTGCGAGTTCGAGAAGTTTTTGCTTTGTCTTTTCTTATACAGAACAAAGTTTGAAAATGGCCAAGTTTGGAATTATGGATACATCCATTGACTCCTTCGGGAGACACACCTGCCGCTGTGATACCCAAAGTAGTCTTCATAGTTGTAGTGGTGACGGATTAACGGCTGAATACTTGTTAGAGGCAGGAGGCCTTATATTATAAAAAGGTCTATCCAGCATGCATTTTAAAAGTTTTAAAAACTCCATGTAATCACGAATAAAGGATTTTCTAAACTTCAATAATAAATGTCAGGGTGGCCGACCGATCTTAGGAGCGGACGCAAGTTCTGCTCCTCTTTAGAATGTATGGGTTCAAATGCCACTTCCGACATCAAGTTTTTCCAAGCCAAGTACTCTAAATTGTGAAAAGCATCACCATGCACCACACCAAGAAAACTTACGTGCAGATTAGGTCCCGGCAGAGGCTTTTGGCTAGAAGCGGGCATTCCTGGACCAAGTCGAGGAGGAACACCCTCCAGCTGTGTGAGCACAACAAGACGGCCCTAGAACATCCTTAAAGATATCTACATCAACCCCAAACCCCTTCCACTTCTGGAAAGTGGCAAACACAAAGTGATGTGTAGTAGGAATGGCTTGAATTGTGCCCAAAAATGTAATTGATAAAATTGGAGCTTGGAGAAGCCTTATATTAACATCCAGGATGCATGCCTGCTCGGCTAATTCCATGCAAAAGCATCAGTGGTAGAAAAAATATTAACTCTATTTTGATATTTATGTTTTAACAATTTCAATCAGCTAGTGTTGATTACTCCTCCAATGACTGTACACCTTTCAAGAGAATTTGGAGCAAAAGGCATATTAGCAAGTAAATCTCGTGCATCATTTAAATGTCCAGCACGGCTCAAGATATCTAGCATGCAACTATAGTGCTGTTTATTAGGTGTCAAACCATAATCAATACTAATCGAAGAAAACCTCTGTTTCCCAACTCCAACCTTCCCTGAGTGGCTACAAGCCAGGAAAAACATCACAAAGCAAGCAAGATCAAGCTCATGAACCATTGCTGCAGTGTGAAAAACAAAAAATGCCTCTTCATAGTGCCCGTTTTGCGCATATGCCGCTAACAATGCTCCCCAAGTCACAAGATTGTGCTCTGGGACTGCATCAAAAAACTTTTGAGCTAATTTGGGGCGTTTGTGAAGAGAATAGACCGAGAGCATTGTGTTCCAAGACACAGAATTATGCTCGGGCATTGTCTCAAAGACATCCTTTGCTTCTTCCAGATGCCAGTTTTGGGAATATGCCGATAACATGGCATTCCAGGTGCAGGTGTCATGCTCTGGCATCCAATCAAACAAGTGCTTAGATTCCTCAAGATGCCCGTTAAAGGCATATGCTCCGAGCATAGCAGTCCAGCACACCACATCCCTCACGTAAGAAGTATCAAAGAGAAATCTAGCCGCATTTATGTCCCCGTGACGGGAGTATGCCACCATCATAGCGCTTACTAACACCAAATCCCACTCGGGCATATCCTGGAGAATATCTCTTGCCTGCTGGAGATGCCCTTCCTGGGCATATGCATTTAGCATGGCCGTACAGGATACGAGGTTGTGGAAGGGCATTTCGCTGGTAAAGATGCGCTTGGCATCTCTCAGATTCCCGCGCTGGCCGTACAGGAACAGCATTGCGCCGTACGAGACGAGGTCACGCTGGGGCATCTGGGCGAAGACGCGCTCGGCATCTTGGATATTCTGGGAGCACGAGGAGAGCATAATGTTCCAGGACAGTAGGTCCCTCTCGGGCATCTTCTCAAACGTGTTGGCAACGTTGGAACCTTCCCCGGCTTTGGCATATGCGTCAAGCATGGAGTTCCAAGATGCCAGATACCTCCATGGGGTGGCCTGGAATATATGTACGGCCTCTCTCAGTGAGCCGTTGCTGGCGAACGCAACCAGTACGGTCGTTAGGGTGATAGAGTCTCGCTCGGGCATATTCTCGAAGAGGTATTGCACGGAATGAATATGCCCTGCTTGGGCATATGCTTGGATCATGGTGTTCCAAGAGACGAGACTGTGGAGTGGCATAGCCGCGAAGATGGTGGCAGCGCTGGAGATACGCGGAATCTGTGCGTATGCGTGGAGCATCGCATTGGAGGAGAGGAGATTCCTCTCGGGCAATCGCGAGTAGAAGGCTTCCGCGCTGTGGATTTGCCCGCTTTGGGCGTATGCCGCGAGCATCGCGTTGAGCGCCACTTGATCCCATCCGGGCATGGCGTGGAAGATATCTTCGGCGTCGCGCAGCCGCCCGCCCCGCCCCAGCCCCGCCAGCATCGAGGTATACGAGACGAGATCGCGATCTCTGCGCGGCATGGAATCGAAGACTCTCTTCGCGTCGCGCAATCGCCCATCGCGGAGATGGGCGGCGAGAATGGAGTCCAATTCGCGGGATGGATCGATCGAGCATCCCTGCGAGCTCATGCGATCATGGATCAATCGCAATTAATCGATGAATCGATCGGTACCAAACTTCCAACCACCGAGACTAGGCTGGAGATCGATGGGGTGGGCCACGAGAATGAATGGAATTGGTTGGAGAGATCTATCCCTCTCGCGGCCGGGGGGAGAGGAAGAAAAAGAGAAATTGGGGAAGAACACACATTAAAGGCTTATTGGTTTGGTTCTTGACTCCCATAGCCAGCCAGCCAGCACGACTGTTGGATCCAGGCCAGCAGCAGCAGCAGCGATGGATGCGAGCAGTGATTGCGAGGAAATTGGATGAGCCATCAGCGTCAGTTAGTTCGAAGATCACGAACACCCACGTACAAACACACCATCGCCATTGATTGATTGCTTTTCTTCCCTGGGCCAGTTCTTAATTTCCATCCTAGAGATCACCATCACTCGGCAGCTGGTAAGTTGTCAATCGATCGTATCGGATCGGACCAGGAAAAGATCAGCGATCGAGTGACTAGAGCTCCCCTTTCCAATCAGCTGGAACTAAATCTCGTTAGACGATCAACCAGCGAAAGTTTGAAAGGAATCGATTGATTGGCGATGCAACCACCGTGGTGGCAGTGGAATTTGGGCGGTTGATCCGATCCCACACCGACCGAGCATTCAAAGAGTTTACGCGAGCGCGTTTTGGATTTGGAAAAATTTGCCGCGCTATTACTTAGTGACTGACACGCTCCGAGCCCCGTGCAGCATTTCAGTAGCCGGCAGCATTAAAAAAAAAAAAAGAGCTCGGCTCTTCTCGGACTGTCCGAGCTCTCGGACCTCGGAGTCGACTTCGGACTCTCTTCTCAGTTATAAAAAGAGTGCTTTTTTAACCAATCAAGGAAAGTTACGAGGTTGCCCCCCGGATTGCCCGTGTGGCCAGCCAACCAGATTGTCTGGCAGTAACCAAGAAAAAAAAGAAAAAAAAAAAGCAAAAGAAAGAAAAACTACTAAACTACCACCACTTACCACCTTTGCAAACTTTTCACTATTATTACTAGACCAGGGCTTTGAGTGATGATCTTGCAGAATTTCCAGAGAGAAAAACCAATGTTTTGATGTTTGTGTAAGATGTGTTGATTGGAGCTCTTCATTCTATTGTTTCTTGTTCCTGGGGATTCACCATAAGAGCTGGAGCTGGGGGAATGGAGGGTTAAAAGCTGATCATAGAGGAATGCAAATAGAAGAAAATTCTCTTGAAATTTTCAATGTGATGAATTCTAGAGTTGGAGGGATTGGTTGCATTTTGTTTGATGAGTTAGGTTGGTTGGGTAGCTCGCTCCATAAATGAGTGAGAGTTGTGAAGGAGGAGGATCTTCCTTGATGACTTCTGGTTGCACAAGCGAAGTTCAGAGAGGGCAGCAAGCCAGGCAGCCAGGCAAGCCAGCCAGCCAGCCAGCAGCAAAATTTAACTACCAAATAAAGGAAGAAAAAAGAGGAAAACCACCAACCAGAGCAAAATTTCTTCCTCCTCCACTGCTGCTGGTGCTGCTGGTGCTTGGTGTTGAAATTCTGTGTGTTTTGTTGGAGGATGGCAAGAGGTTTTTTTTAAGTGATCTTGGTTGGCTTTACCTAGTTTCTTCTTCTTCTTCCTCTGCTCAAAGTGTCTCGAGAAGAATCGAAGTTTCTTCTTCTTCTTCTTCGTCTTGTTGGTGGAGACGGTGCTTTGATTTGTTAAAGACAAGAGTTGAGAGGAACCACAACAAATAAAAGAGAGAGCTTTGGCATTGGCTTGGCCACATGGGCCATTAACAGCTCACAAGGAATTAGGAAAGCTTTCCCGCTTTGCTTTATATCTCCCCAGGCGCAAAGCTTTCTTCCCGAGCAGGGCAGAGGAACAACCTTTGAGAGGGCGAGGGCGCTTCTTCCCACGAACAAAAATCGCTTTTTTTCCCTCTCCTTCTCGTCGATCTCTTCCTGTCAATCTTTCTTCGCAATGGGGGCCGAAGCCACTCTCACAATGCCGGTGGATTTCAAGGTGGAGCTCGTCAAGGAGCCGGAGCTCGTCATGCCGGAGCAGCCAGTGGAGGAGCAGCACTACTTCCTGTCAAACTTGGATCAGAACATCGCGGTGGTGATGAAAACAATCTACCTGTTCGAGTCGAGCAGCGCCAGAGCCGCGGACAATCCCGCCGACGTGATCCGCCAAGGCCTGTCCAAGGCGCTGGATCACTACTACCCGCTCGCCGGCAGGCTGGGAATCAGCAGCGAAGGAAAGCTCGAGGTGGTGATGAAGAAGAGCGGCGATGGAGCCGAGCAGCAAGGAGTCGTGTTTGCCGAGGCCGAGGCCGATGCTCGAATTTGCGACCTGGGAGATATCATCAGGCCCGGTTCCACACCTCTGCTCCAGCTTGTCTACGCAATTCCGGGTGCCAAGAACGTCCTTGAAGTTCCTCCCATGACTGTCCAGGTAACGCTCGCTAGAAGAAGAAAAAAGACCGGTTTTTGATCGCTCTACCGACCAAAAAATCCTGTTTTTCTTTCCTTCCTTCTCCTGTCGTTGTCGGTATGATCCTCTCCCTGCCTGTCCAGGTGACGAAATTCAAGTGTGGCGGCTTCGTCCTCGGGCTTTGCATCAACCACTGTATGTTCGATGGGATTGGAGCGATGGAGTTTGTTCACGGCTGGGCCGAGCTAAGCCGAGGCGTTCCACTGTCACTCAACCCCGAGCTCGACCGGAGTGTCCTCAAGGCCCGGAGTCCACCGCTGGTCGAGTTCCCCCACCTCGAGTACGCTCAAGTCGACGACGTCTCTGGCGGCTCGCAGCAGAACTTACACCTCAATGATGACGACCAACTTGTGTATAGAGTGTTTCGTATCCGGGGCCAGCAGCTGGAGCAGCTCAAGTCGCAGATCGATAACGAAATGGTGGCGGCACAGGAAGATAACGTCGACGTCCCCGGGTGGCGAAAGTGTAGCACCTTCGAGGCGCTCTCGGCTCTGGTGTGGAAGTGCCGCACCAAAGCTCTGGCCATGGATGACAGGCAGCCGAGCAAGCTTCTGTTCGCGGTGGACTACCGGTCGAGAATCCAGCCACCGCTTCCCAAAGGTTTCATGGGAAACGGCATCATGCTGACTTACGCCATGGCCACGGCGTCGGAGCTGGAGAGCAAGCACCTGTCCGAGGTGGTGTCGCTCGTAAGAGATGCCATAGCTCGGATTCACGACTCTTATATCCGGTCCTCCATCGACTGCTTCGAGCTGCAGCGTTTCTGTCCCAGTCTCTTCTCGACTTTGCTCGTCAGCACCTGGTCTCGGCTGTCTTTCCACACGACGGACTTTGGATGGGGGGAGCCGCTGCATTCCGGCCCCGTCGGTTTTTCCGAGCCGGAGGTCTGTCTCTTCCTCTCGCACGGGAGAGAGACGAAAGACATGAATCTCATCCTCGGCTTCCGGTCTGACGCCATGACACGGTTTCATGACGAGCTGGAACAGGTACTTGGCCAGGTGCTGTGCTCCACCTAAACACTCGTTTCCCCCAACAGACTGCTTATTTTTATATTCGATTCTCTACCTCGTCCCTGCCCCTCCCTGCTTTGAAAGAAAGAGAAACACAACAACAGTAGGAAAAAGTAGCATGCAGAATAGTTTGATTTTACCTCTACCGCTTCTGCTGCTGCTGCTGCTGCTCAGCTTTGATCATCGAGTGCTGGAAGGAAAAGGAAAATGCAAGCTGCTTTTCTTGTTCCTGTTGTAAAGTCTCGCTCGATCGCAGCTGTGGTGTATAAAGAAGTTGGCAGTGCCACAAAGATGAGCCTTTAAAGTCCTCCGTCCGTCCGTTATGCCTTACATTTAGAGATGGATAGTCCTGTGCCACCTACTGAAGCATAAACAGAAACAAAAAGCAAGAGTATGTTATAAGAACGATCGATAATGCTTTAGATCGAGTTTGTTATAATCCTATCCAGGAAATCATGTACCGCCAACAGCCTCATTTCAAAAAGTTGCACGACCCTTTGACACCTTTCCACAGGCTCTCCTTCTGAGGCGTACTCGCGGCAGCAGCGCTGCTTTCCTCCAGGAGCAAATTTTCAACCTCTTTAGAATCATGCTTCCTCCGAAACTGCACAGGACAAACAAACGGATCATCTCATTTTTGTGAAGGAGACGTGGCATTGCCAGCCAGCTACCACAAAGAGGAGCCACAGTTTGTAGCTGCAAGAATGCTCGCCTGTGTCCGCTTCTTTTGCAAGCTCAAGCTCGTTTAAAATGAACAAGACGTGCTTTCCGTGAACCTCCTTATCCCGAGGGCGTTCAACTTTGAATTCGTTGAAAAGCTCGTTATAAGTCAGCAGCCCGTGAGCCAGAAACCGTCTGTGAATCCATAGAGCCTAAAAAAACAAGTTCATGAGAGACATTTACAGCGCAACATTCCAACCTCATTCCCGAAGGACATGTCTTTAATTGATTCAGCGTTCCCCTTGAGCTCCTCCTGTTCAAAGTCAGGGAATACTTTCAGTCATCATTCTGGCTTCAAATAAGCACGACCTTCCACATCGAGGCCAATTCCCTCCAGCTCAGGTAAAATTCGTGTTGTCTCCAAATTAGATGTTGCAGCATGGACTGCAAAATAACCAAGTGGAGTTATTCCATTTCAGTGCGTAGTAACGAAGTACCCTGCGATAGTGGAAAAAACAGTTATCTGTACACCGGTACGAATCCCGGGATTTCAACTCCAGCTCTATCTGTAAGGCATCAACTCACAGTTCTCTTCTCTATGCGTCTTTAAAAATGGAAGCAAACAAGGTACGTACTCGAGGGAACTTCATGAAGGAGATAAGCCAGCAACGGTGTCTCCAAGCACGGTAGTTCATCGGAGATCTCTGCCACATTGGAATGAATAAGCGGGCAGTGAGAGTGATCTCTGCAAAGACGACATATAAGAGAAGAGATGGCACTCGACTCATATATACGTAAACGGCGGCTAACCTCGACAATCGCATCAACATGTTTGGATTCAGAGTCAATGATGCCATCGCTTTGGCTGGAAGTGGAGGAGAATATTTTGTTTAATGCCCACCTCCTGCAAAAAAAAACTTTTTCAAGTGCCAGAAGAGAGAAACAAAGAAAGAAAAGAAAGAGAGAAGAAACACGTACCGATGAGCCCACGCTTCCTCACTTTTTGGAGCATACGTCAAGACAAGACTGGATAGTCGTAGCTCACTGATCATTCCTGACTGAGAAAAGCTCGACTTGCCAAGAACACGTTTCCTAGATCACGAGATACTTTAGATCGCTTGGAGATGAAAAACAAACGACCAAAAGGAGGAAAAGAGATCATACCTGGTGTTCCAAGCGGTCGAGTAATCCGAGTTGACAATCAGGAGTGCTCTTGTGACCTTGAGCAAACTTTCTTCCTTCGAGAAGCCATTTTCCTGCCTTCCGCACTGTTTTTCTTCCGCTCGCAATGCCGAGAACACCGCCTGTGCTTCAGTGTAGAGCGGCCTCAAAGCGTTCACTGCGATCCCTAGCTTGTGATCTCGCAGCCAAAACCAAGAAGCCTCACAGTACTCCCCAGCGCCAGCGCCATCGCAGGGGCTCTTGGATCCCTCTCCAGCGTTCGGATCAGTGTCAGCGGCGGCAAACGAGATCTCGACTGTATCAGCTGGAAGATCGTGGAGCTGCGCCAATTGCGACGGCAGGAGGAATCCCAGCTCGTCGCTGCGCGATGGATCAGAGATCACGGATGCATGGATCGAATCGATCGATCGGGATCGCGCACTTACATTTCGGGATCGCTGTCGAGAAGGCGCCCCAGATCCGCCAAGAGCCTCGTCCCACACTCCATTATTTTAGGTAGGGAAGTTATTAGGGTTCTTACTTCTCGCTTAGATCCAGCAAGGGAAGAGGAGCGCCATCGTCGTCCCAGGCACTTCCAGGCTCAGGTACTGAGCTAGCTCTCACGATCTGGAATCATGGATCCCAGCCAGGAGTTTGAATCTAGCTCCTGTTCTTGTCGGCTCACTGTGGATGAAAATGCAGGGCCTAGCGATGGTGCTCGAGGATTAGAGCTTGGATCCTCATGTCAAAGAACTGGTATGGAGTCTTTTCGAGCGATTTCTTTCATCAGTAATGACATCTCGATTCGCTTCTCCTTGTTGCTTCTCATATAGGATGCTAAGAGGGCGCAATTTTCCTGGCAAAGTTCTACTGTCGCGGAAGGCCGACTCTAGCTCTAATGTGAGAGGGAACTCTTCGGAGAGTAGGAGTTCTGATGAAGATGGCCACTCGTTCTCGAGTGGAGCAGGAAGAAACCGGGTATGGTTTTCTAGTTTTCTTTTTATCTTTTTGTGTGTGTTCTGGATTTCTTGAGAATGGAACTTTGATCTGTCGACGTGGCTTGTAGGATTTGCAAGACATCAATGGCAACGAGCTTGGAAGCTCATCGTCTGCTGGATCACCGGGAGAATCGTCAAGCAGGGAAGCCTCGGCGGATGCTCCAAGGCCAGGCTCCGGTGGGCGAGCTACAGACACTGCTCGTGTTGCAAGATTTAAGAAAGAGTTGGCTGCCTCGACTGTAAATCTAGGTACTTTCGACGAGACTTACTCAGCTCTCTCAAACTCTTGTTCTCTTTTTTTCGCAGATGCTTTGAGAGAGCTCTCGTGGAGTGGTGTTCCCGCTGACATGAGGCCCATGATTTGGAGACTGTTGCTGGTATGACTTTGTTTCGAGCTGAGAAAAGATTGACAATTGAAGCACGTTTATATACTTCAGAGCTTTGCGTGCAGGGTTATTCGCCTTCCAATACGGATAGAAGGGAGATGGTGCTTTCCATGAAGAGACAAGAGTACGTCGAAGACATTGCACAGTTTTTCGACATACCCGATGAGGATCGCACTGAGGACGAGATAAGAACCGTTCGTCAGGTGAGTAATACGGAATTTTTCCATTAGCTCGTATGTGCTGCCTTCTACATTGTCCCTAGATTGCCGTCGACATTCCACGGACGGTGCCGGATGTTACTTTCTTCCATCAGCCTACTATACAAACCTCACTGGAGCGAATCTTAAATATATGGTAAACCTGGAATAAATAGCTCGCGAGTATCATCTTTATGAGGTTTGCATTTTCGAGCAGGGCAGTGAGACATCCTGCGAGCGGTTACGTCCAGGGAATCAATGACTTGGCGACGCCTTTCCTCGTGGTGTTTCTCTCGGAGCATTTTGAAGGAGAGATGGAAACCTGGGACTTGTCGAAGCTTTCGCCGGAGAAGCTTACGCAAGTTGAAGCAGACAGCTACTGGTGTCTCTCCAAGCTGCTCGACAGAATCCAGGATCATTACACTTTTGCACAACCTGGAATCCAGCGGCTTGTCTTTAAGCTGAAGGAGCTGGTTCGACGAATTGATGGTAAGACCTTTCCAGTTTTCACTTTTAAAACAAACACTCGTGCTTTGCTTAGAACCGGTAGCCAGGCATGTCGAAGAGCAGGGGCTGGACTTTTTGCAGTTCGCGTTTCGGTGGTTTAATTGCCTCTTGATAAGAGAGGTAAGACATTCTTTTGTAAATCACTTCACCTTCAATTGTTTTGTCTTCCATCACGCAGGTTCCATTCTCATTGGTTTCTAGACTGTGGGATACTTATCTAGCCGAGGGCGACGCTTTTCCAGAGTACCTTGTATATGCATGTGCCAGCTTCTTATTGACGGTACGCAAATCACATCATCGCAGAGGCCTGCCTGACTCTAAACTGTTCCTTTCTTTTTTATAGTGGACCGACCAGCTCCAGCAGCTAGATTTCCAGGAGATGGTGCTTTTCTTGCAGCACTTACCAACGAAGAGATGGACTCACCAAGAGCTGGAGATGGTGCTGTCGCGAGCTTTCATGTGGAGAGTTATGTTCGACCGCTCCCCAAGTCACTTAAACTCGGGCTAAGTCGATGGATCGATTCAAAGCGCTGGCTGCTATCTAAGAAGAGAGCGAATGAAAGAGAAAGAAGAACCAGGGAGTTCTAGAAAAGTAAGCTTTGCAATTTATTCGATTCCAATGTACAGTCGGCATCACTCCTATAGGTATTCTACACACAGGTTCTTTCACTGTTTTCTTTTTTTTTTTTTTAAGTTCTCACTCTCTTCTTCACGCTGCTGCTGCAAAGTGTACTTCCAGATTGCTACTCGTCGAGATTCTCTTCTCGCTCACGATCTTCTTCTCGTCACCCTCGAGCTTGCAAAGCCCCGGCATCCTCTCCTTGACGAGCTTCCACACCGACTCATACTCGTCGTCGGCATTGCGCAGCGATCGAAACATGCTCTCGAGGACATGTGACGACGGCGAAGCCGGATCCTGGAACGGCTTCTGGACGATTCTCAAGTACTGGTACATCTCGTGAGCGGGCATTCCCTGGAGCAAGTATGGAAGCAAGCGTCCATGCGCGGCTTCCATGATGATCACGCAGCTCTCTATCGCTGCGTCCTGCTGCTTGCTTCCGAATCCGACAGTCTCGAGCAGAGGAAGAATGTCGCGCTCTTCCTCGTCGAAGTGATCTCGCGTGCTCTCCTGGATCGATATATCGAAACGTAAGCACAAAAGAGAGATTTTTTCTACCACCAAGAAGTACCTGGAACACTTTTAGCCGAGTTGCTAGCGCGACCAGAGCTTCATTATGGACGCAGCTGCCCTGTTGTAACGCCAGGACAGACTTCAGATCCTCGCGAATCCCATTCATGATTGGTAAATCTCTAGCGTGATCAGCGTGCACAAGCTCGGTCAGTCCTGGCAAGGAAAAGAAAGAAAAACCAAAACTTTGTGATGGTTCTATGGAAAACCGAAAGAACTCACCTTTGTCCGCGTTCTCCAACACTGGAAACATGGTTCTCTCCTCCATCTGTGCGTGCTCTTGCATCAGCTCCACCAGCCGCAAGTACTCGGACGAGAGCTTCTTGATCTTCATCGCCAGCCCTGCCTTGACGGGCGAGATGGTGCTGGAGTTCACCTTGGTCGCGGCCAGCTCCTCAGAGATCTTCACCACCTTCTCGACGTGAAAAAGAATGCTCCGGTGCTGGAGCAAGCACAAGCTCGCCACCGCCGGGCAAGTTCTCTCGTCGATCGCCTTGGAGACCGACATCTCCAGCAAGTCTGGATCCATCCTCACGGGAGCGTAGCTCGGGAAGAACGGCATTCGCTTGTAGTAGCCCAGGAGATTGGAGTGGACTGCTCGAATCTCGATCCCTCGAAAGAGGCCCAGCGGCCGGACAAGCTCCAGGAAAGGGATGAGATAGACGTCCACCATGCTAAACTCCTGTCCAAAGAAGTAAGGTCCATCTTTGCCGTGCTCCCACAGCCCCCTGTCCAGTCTCGCGAACGCCGTGTCGATCTTGGCGCTGCCCTCTTGCTGGACTGCCGGATCGGCGTCGTAGAGTAGCTGGCCGACGAGCGGCGAGAATTCGTCTCGCACGAATTCCACCCAGTCGCGGACATCCATCCCGGCCGATCCCTCGAGCAAGAGCGGCGGATCGCGGAAGGTGGCCTCGATGTAGTCCACAATGTCGTCGGCGGATCCATAGATGACGCTGCCGCCGTGCTGGAGGATGGGGACATCGCCATCCGGGCACGCGGATTCGAGCCACTCGAGCTTCTTGCTGGATTGCAAACCCTCGGGCGGCACCCAGATTGGATCCACGCTCAGGCCCTTGTGGAGGAGCGCGATCCGGATCCGGGCCGTGAAGGGGCAGAGCTCCACGCCAAACAATCGCAGCACTACGCCATTGCCAAACCTGTAGGGATGGCACGATACCGGCACCACGCACGCCGCCGTCGCCTCGCAATCTTTCTTGCCGAAGCAAGCTCCCATGATCGATCTTCTTCTTCTTTACTGCCGCGACCCTCCTCCGCCGCCGCCGCCTGGATGGATCGATCGCATTCGTGAGAGCAGAGGGCGAGAGATGGAAATTTAGGGCTTTAGGATGAGAACGGCTAGTTTCGCTGCGCAACGGCTGTTTGTATTTTAGGGGGGATATTCTTTGGACATTCTAGGCAGGATTTATTAATTTATGTTAATTAAACAATAATTGTAAAAGTTAATACTCGTATAAACTAAATAAGCTATAGAAATTCATAAAAGTTTATTTTAACTTTTTACACTTATGATATTAACATTATTGTACATTTTTTGTTATTATAGGAACCTGAAAATCCATTTTCATCCATTCTCAATTTCATGGTCGCCACAAAGTTTTGGTTATTTATTTTTTTAAAAAAATCTAATTTATAAAAATGTTTAATGAATGAGAAAAATACTTTATCCTAAACCAAAAAAATTTAACATATTTCTAAATTTACAATAGCTGTATGTTTTCAGAATGTTGGGCATGGCGGCTCCAAAGCTCACTTCTAAGGTCTTGAAGCATGTCCCACGTCAGTATCAAGCGATGAAACACAGGGAAGCAAAGAGATGGATGCCGGGATTTTCTGCCAATTTCCTCTATCTTTTCCTTGTTGGCTGCTTAGAAGTAAGCACTGCACGGTAATGAGCTTGGCTTGGATCGCAAAGAAATCATCCGGCAGCTGCTCGTAAGAGTAGAGGTGTAGCTCTTGGAGGCTACTTGGAAACGAGGTGATGGTGGTGGACACAAGGCTTCTCATGTAGCCCTCGACAGTCAAGAACTTGAGGCTTGGGAGACTCGTGACAAAGAGAGGCAAGTGATCGCGAGGAGTGGCGAAGCTCAAGTGCAGAGTTTTCAAGTTTTCCATGGCGGATGAAGTGATGAAGTTGGGATCCAGCTGCAGCGATTCCGGGAAAGAGTCGAGTTTGAGCTCTTTCAAGTTTGGGAAAGAACCTGGCGGAGCTAGCTGCTGGCACGCAACGCCATCGCAGATAAGGTGGAGTTCTTCGAGACGTTTCAATCGATGGAGACGGGAGAGATTCTTGATCTTGTGGTTGTAAAGGTCAAAAACTCGAAGCCCATGACACTTCTCGATCCACGTGAAACCTTCATCGTGTGTTTCATCTTCTTCCACTCCCGTGATTCGAAAGACTTGCAGATTGAGTGATCCTTTGAACAGGCTGCTCCAGCGAGCTCCTCTACTCGACTTGCAACTGATGTGGCATCGCATCAGCTCCTTGAAGCGTCCAGATCCAGCAGAAACTCGCCGAAACTCGATGTTCCTGGACACCAAAAACAATGTCTCGAGATGCTCCAAAGCCGTGAATCCTTCCGAGAGTATGATCAAGCCGCTGGACGAGCCTATCATCTCCAAATACCGCAGATGTGTGGCGCTGGAAATCCCTGTTAAGTCCACCACCTCTGTGTCACTCGCGTGGATTGTCAGCTCTTTCAAGTTTGAGAGCTTGTAGAGCATATCGAAACCAAAGTTCCTGACCTTGCTGTCGCATTTCAAGTATTGGAGTGATTCTATCTCCATGATCTCGACTGGAATGTGGTTTATCCACGTGTTTCTAAGATCGAGCATTTCAAGCCTCGTGAGCTTGGAGATCCCTGGTGGAATGAATTCCACCTTTGTTCCCTTCAAGCTTAGTCCCTTAAGTTCCTTGATCCGGTCTATCAAGTCTTCGTCCAAAACGCTAAACCTGTTGTTCCCATCGAGCAAGACCATGTCTCTTACAGATAAGTTTGATGGCAGGCTTCGAACATTCTTGGAGATAAAGGAGACTTTGTTGGCCCTCTCGTCCATGCCTGGTTTCCACTCATGTCCAAAGAAGCATTTCTCTTCGTGCTGCGCTTGAGAATGGAACTTTCCCTTCAGAACTCTAATGCAAAGTTTGCGTAGCATGTCATGAACCGTGATGTATAGCGGATTGTCATCTGCATCATTCACCACCTTGATCATCGATCTTCGGTCCAGTTCTTTCGCAATCTCCTTGAAGGAGAGCTGTGAGTTGCTTGCTATCCAACACTTGATCAAGTCTTCGAAATCTATCCTGGCATCTTCTGGAAACGCAGCCACGTAAAGGAAGCACTCTTGCAACTTATCATCGTTGTTTCCCAGCTCGTCGTAGCTAAACTTCAAGCGCTTGAACATGAGTTTCTCGAGATCATCGTCGTTGGACAAGTGCAACTGTCGGTAACGTTCTTTCCAAACTCGGGACCCGTGGTCTCTGTAAACAGCCATGGCACTGCCAACGACTTCAAGAGCTAGAGGGAGGCCCTCACACTTTCGAGCGATTCTCTCCGCCACCTTTTCAACGCGGTGACGATCTTCAAACTTATGCGAGCTTCCTGATCCTGATCGAGGTCCGAATGCGAACCTCCAAAACATCTCCTTGCTTTCACCCTCCGGCAGCAAACGGACCTTGATAACTCTGGCCTGGAGCTTCTTTATAACATCTTCCTTCCTGGTCGTCACAAGCACCCGAGATGAAGACTTTTGATCCACGAAATCAATGAAGTTCCTTGCAAGATTAGCTTGCCACACATCGTCCAGGATCAGAAGAACTTTTCTCCCACCACAAACCTCCCTTGCAAAGTGTTTCATATCCTCAAGCTTATTACAAGCTTTCACCATGTCAAGCTTGTCACCCCATTCCAGGGCATGGATAACTTGGCTCTTGAGACTATCCTCACAAGCATCCTTGGCCACTGTGAACCAGACAATGTTGTCCTGAAAGTACTCCCTGATCCTTGGATCATTGTGGACGCAGCTTGCAAGAGTGGTCTTTCCACATCCACCCATCCCCAAAACTCCCACACACATGTCATGAGAATTATCCGCGAGGAGGATCTTCACCACCTCATCTAGCATCACGCCGCCAAAGATGGTCTCAGGAACCACGCGCCGTACATAAGTTCTCGCAACACCCTTGTCATGCGGAGAAGTCCGTACGGCATAGCTGGAACTGCGCTTTACCAATTCCAGCTCTCGTTCGTAGCTCTCGATTTGGGAGAGAAGATCATCGTAGAGACGAATGGCTTCGTCGATCGCACCATATCTCTCGTACCTTTGCAATTTCATCAATGGTAATTCAATCGCAAAACTAAAGAGCACTTATCTCGACTCTTACCGTACTTTGGGGTTCCAGATGTTCCTCCTGGCGACCAGCAGCTCTTGGGCTTTGTGATTCCAAGCCTTGATGCGATCCAAGCACTCCTCCGCTGCGTCCGAGAACTTGAATCCTGGATTGGTGTGCTTGGGAGCATCAAATGCGTCGATCTTAGCATTGATGTTGGCGGCCCTGTGCTCGAGAACTCCGAGGTTTGCATCCCAACACCAAACCTTCTGGAGAGCATCGATGCCCATTCTCGCTAGTGGAACCGCCACACAGCTCGCAAATTCCATTGTAATAGAGGATTCCAATCCAAGTCAACAAAAACGTGAGCTATTTGACTTTGTTGACTTTGATTGGAGTCCTTCATTGCTGGCCATAGTTCACAAACAAGGATCGATCTCCAATGACATTCAGAGGAAGGATTCATCTCCAATGACATTCAAGGGATTTTTCTGCTTCTTTATCTCTTTTTTTTTTTTAATAAAAAATTATTTCTGCTTTTACGAGGAATAGTACAAACCGTATTTACCATGGTTAGAATGATTGAATACAAGTATTTCTAAAGATAAGATGAAAAATATACGTATTACAATGTAATTTGTTACCTTTGGGTGAAAGTAATCTTTTATACATAAAGGAAGATAAGTATAGGGCATAGCCCCGATAGATACTATATGATGATATTTTCTGGCTCTATAGAGATGGATAGGATAATCTAGATAGCGGCATTTTTTGGTAGAAGATCAAGAGAGGAGAGGGCTCGAGAGGCGCCGAGAGGCGAAGATCCAATCCCCTCGCTGGGCGCGCAATGGCCGCCGTGGTGATGGACTGCTCGGCTGCCAGGAAGTCGATCGGCGCGGCAGCGATGCTGGCGGCAGCGGCGGCCGAGCCGGGGTCGAGCGCTGTCTATGGCAGATTGCGCGTCCAGAGAATCCGGAGCTGCTGGCTAGGGTTAAGAGTGGGGAATGCTCGCGGAGGGATCACCTGCCGGCAGCAACGTCAATCGCTGGTGGTTTGTAGCAGTAGCAGCAGCTGGTCCAGCAAGCCCGGCAAGGATGGGGGCGAGGAGGACGAGTTCCAAGAAGCTCCAGCCGAGGATTATTTGCAAGCGCAGGTCGTGGATGCTGGTGAGTGCTTCTTCTTTTTTTTTTTTCCCCTTGTTCCCCCTTTTCGCCTTTTTCCTCTCATTGTTTCGATTGACATGGTTTGGTTCCTTCTTTTTTCTTTCTTTGCAGTGAGTATGCTGCCACTACACGGACGATTGTTCATGACTCTGTCCAGTGGAAGAGAAGTTGAGGTCAATCACGTCCATCCTTCCAAAGGCAGGCTTTTGTACAGAGCGAGGAATCCAGCCATTTTTCTCAAGGTTCTCAGCGACTCGGACGTCCTGCTCCCAATTATTGTAGGTACGTTGCGCAAAGAAAGAGCTTCTTTTTCCTACTTTGTTCTTCTGGCGGTGCTTTGACACTGGTTTTCCTCAGGCGAAACGGCCGTGACCATGCTCATGAAAGCACTCCATGACGAAGAGAAATCGGTAACGTAAATTGCGAAGTTATGATCCATTTTCATCGTGCTTCGTCTCCATACGTTTCGCAGGGCCGTCCAAACCATTATCAATTGCTGAGACAGATTGTTGGTGCGCTAGACTTCGAGGTGAATGCACATTCAATTCTTGTTTTCTTCTTTTTTTCACACGGTCTTCTTGGACCAGGCAAAAATGGTCAGGATCACTGAGCGAGTCAGGGACACATACTATGCCCGCATTTACTTTGGCCAAGTAAGCATAGCTTTCTTCTCAGGAAAGAAGCCAAGCCTGATATCACGCGATGACTACAGGATGGCAAGAAAGCGCTCACTAGCGTAGACGCCAGGCCTTCGGACGCGATCAACTTCGCTGTAAGAAGCAAGGTTTGTGACCATTTCCAGCCCGGTTCTTGCCTGACAAGTTCCCAAGCAGATTCCAATCTTCGTGAACAAGTCTATAGTCGAAAGTGATGCCGTGAGGCCAGTCTACTCGACTCCCGTGCCCTGGGACACCACTGGCGAGAGGAGCCGAAAGTCTTCCTATCTTGATAGGTTCGTTCTCGTTTTCTTGCGAAAACGAAAAAAAAAATTGTTTTTGTGTAGTCCTGATGACGCTCATGATCCAATCGCGGAAGAGATCACTCTAATGAAGGACATGCTCATGGCTGTGGTGGAGGAGCGATATGCGGATGCTGGTAAGTTCTGTCATCTTCTTCTCTCTTTTTTTCTCTCGCTGGTTTATCTTGACACTGCTATTGCACAGCTCGATGCCGGGACCAGCTTAACAAGCATCGCCTCTCGTGCAAGATGAAACAGGTAAAGCGATAATGCAAAATCGTTTTTTTTTTCTTCTCAGATTGTAATTTTTCGTGGATCTACTTGCAGCAGTCGCTATAGAAGGATAGCATTGAAGGAAACTCGACGACAACATGAACAACGCAATGGCGACTGAAATAGATGAGGGATTGATTCAAGCAGCTGATATTAAAGTAAAGCTAGTGTACATACTGTGCAGTGTGCCGTAAGTTATATATGCCTGTGTAGCTGGGACTACAGCATTTAATCAATCGTGGTAAAAAAATCACTATTGGATATGAAGAACTCGTCCCTGGCTTTGTCAAGTCCATTAAGTTACACCCAGTGATCCCTGTTCAGAGCACACCAAGTTTAAAGAACAACGAAGAACACCAATTTAGAGTTACCGGAATGTTAGACAAAACCGAGCTAACGAGTCACAGCTCATCCTCGATGCAATATCCGCAATGGTCGAGGCGGTGGAAGCTGTAACATAATCGACGAGCTTGAGCTCACAAATCTCTTTCAAGTTGGATGCCTGTGTAAGCACCGCAGAGTGACCACCTCCAGCAGCTAAGCACGTAATCTCTCCAACACACCTGGAAGAACACACCAAAGCTTTTCTCGCTTGGAAGAAAGCTTGCTTTGTAAAACTTACCAGTCGATTGGAGAAGGATACCAGGCATAATATGCTTTGCCAGAATCTGCCTGTCCATAGCTGTTGTAGCCGCAGCCAAGCAGCCGGCCATTCGCCATCCGGACGAGAGTGTGCAGATCTCCACAAGTTGCTGAGCGAGCACCGGATGGGATCACTAGAACCGGAATCCGCTGGAAGAAAAAGTCGATGTCACTAGTGCCGCAGATGCGATCTTGCCGGGGCCCCAGACCAAGTTGTCCTGCGTGACTTCCACCCCACATATATAGTCCTCCGGCAGAGGAGATCGCGCAGGAGTGGACTCCACCGGCAGATATCTGGACGACATCCACGCCTTCCAGCGTCACCACTCTTCTCGGAAAAACTTCCTTGTTACCGGATTGCAAACTTCTGTGACCAAGTTGTCCGGAAGATCCCAGTCCCCAGGTGTATCTACAGGAAAGTTGCAAAAACCATTAGCTATAAACGATCGAAAGAAGAAAGAACAGTAAACAAGAGTAAAAAAAAGATCGCTCACTCCCTGAAAGTTCCCATCTCTCAATCCGGCAAGAGCACAACTTACACATCGCCATTGTGTGCAATCGCTGCTGTGTGATACTCGCCACACACCACTTGCTTCACTTTGACAGTTTCAACCGGCTCGTTGAGGAACTTAACGAAAGAGGTGACAATTTTTGCTCCTTGGAGCCCCTCGCAGCTGATCCCTCGGCCGAGTTGGCCATGCTCATTGTATCCTGTTCAAGGAAATCCGCGATGCCAAGGCAAGCACAAAAACAAATCTAGAACTGTGTCAATCCCCACTGGCAAATGATAGATAGAACTAAAGAGCAAACCAAGGAAAAAAATGGAAGGAAGGTGGTAGAGAAGTACCCCACGTTTGAAGAACACCGTGCTCTGAAAGAGCTGCGGCGTGTGCTCCTCCACAGGCTACTTGAATGACCACCTGAGATAGCGATGAAATGAAAACTTCCATGAAGAACAAAACAAAAAAGAGAACTTTACTGTGCTAGATGAGAATACTCCAGAGAACAGTCGAGGCGAATTTGATCCCTGGCAAAAGAAAAAGAGAGGAAGAACCAATGAGCAAAAGAATGCGAAAGAACAAAAGAGTTACCTGGTTTTGTCCCCAAATCCACATCCTACCACGACAAGTTCCATCTCTAGAATCAGCGATGGCGGCAGTGCAATTGGCTCCACAAGCAACCGACTTGACAGCCTCGTCTCGCAATCCATAGACTCTTTTCGGCCGATCGGAGTTTGTCTCAGATCCATCGCCGAGTTGCCCGAATTGATTGGATCCTACGCTAGTTCATCCCGGTTCTAAGGATGGAACGAAAGAAAGAAAGAAACTCACCCCAGGTAAAGAGGGATCCATCCGAGGCGATGGCGGCAGTGTGCTCGAGGCCGCAAGAAATGGCGATGAGTCGAAGCGACGATGGATGGATCGCGACTCTGATGGGATGCGGCACCGCGCTGTGGATTGCCGATTCTTGCCCTGCCTGGCCGCATTGATTGTAGCCCCACGCATAGAGAACGCTCCTCGCGGGCACTGGCTGCTCCTCCATCTCTTCTCTATAACCTAGAACAGTTTGAATTAAAGGTAAAGGAAAGTTACTTTTTAAAATACCTTTTTAATGACCAAGGTATGTAGTCAGTTTACTTATTTACCATTTATAGCGTGCTTACGTGTCATTATTACGTGGCACTTCATAGTCTCACGTCATAGTGACACGTAATCACGCTATAAGGGGAATATTCGAGGTTTGTGACAGGATCAACCATTTAGCTTTTAAGTTGGAGCTATGGCGGCGGTAGAGGAAGAAGGCGCCAGGGCGGCGATGGAGATCGTCTTCTACGATGTTGAGACGACGGTGCCGGAGGTGAAGGGCCAAGGCTACGAGATCCTCGAGTTTGGCGCTGTGGTGGTGTCGGCCAGGGGGCTGGAGGAGCTCGATTCCTTCACCACGCTCGTCCGCCCCTCATCCCTAGCCCTGGTCAGTCCCAGGAGCGTCTCCTGCAATGGGATCGTCCAGGACAGCCTCGTCGGAGCTCCATCGTTCCTGGAGATCGCCGATCGCGTCCATGCTCTGCTTCACGGTGAGCTTCTTGATGGATATTTTGGTGATTTCTTGGCCGATTGATCGATCAGGGCGCGTGTGGGCGGGGCATAACATCTTGCGCTTTGACAATCTCCGGATCAAGGAGGCTTTCGCGAGCATTGGAAGGGCTGGGCCGGAAGCCGCTGGCCACATTGATACATTTCCATTGCTGCGAAAAAGCTTTGGCCAGAGAGCTGGAAATCTCAAGGTATGTTTTGCTTTGCTCTTGTGGATGATCGATTCCAAGCTGCCTTTAGATGGCAACTCTAGCATCTTATTTCGGGCTTGGCAAGCAAGAACACAGGTAGAGCGATCCACTCCCATCTCTCTCTCTCTTTTTTTTGTTTCTAACTTTCTCTTTCTCGTCCAGGAGTCTCGCGGATGTCCGTATGAACATCGAGGTTCTAAAGCTGTGTGCTACCGTACTCTTCCTGGTAAGGTCACCATTCTTGCAAGTTCTAAGCTCTCATGGTGTTTTCTTCTCGATCAATCTAGGAATCCAACTTCCCCGACATCTTCCCAATGGAGAGCATCGTCTCTCCAAATCAAAACTCGCCTTTTCTCGTCCCCGAGAGGCGCCAGAGCGCCAGGCTCTCGAGCTTGCGAGGAGACGCCTTTAATTTCAACTTGCTGGCCGTGTCACTGGAGGAGGCGATCAAACACGACGATGCGAATGGAAGCAAGCTTGAATCGAGAGAAGAAACCACCATGATATCTGCAACAACAACAAGAACAATCGAGCAAGCTACAGAACAAGAGAGAGTTTCCGAGGATTTAAGGAACGACAAGTTCTTACGTTCAGACGAGATCTTCCTGGACTTTTTAGACGCCACGCACAATCCCGATAAGTGGATCACTCTCCAGCACGCATCGCAGCAGCTCTGCATTCGCGAGACAAACGCCAGGGTCAAGTTCAGTGTGAGCGACAGATTTGCTTACAGCAGCGACGGCAAGCCAACTTTCAGCATCGTCATCGTCCCGACGCCAAAGCTGCTAGCAATCGCCAAGGAATGCGAGGTTCTCGTGAAGAACGTGTCCACTTCCATGGGGATCGCTGCTGTGTGGCAGCCGGTGCTGGTTGCCAACGGAACTGGGGACGAAGCACTGCGCATCAAGTAAGAAAATTATTCCATCGTTCTAACTTTGAGATCAATCACACCTTTGCAGGATTGGAACCAGTGGAGATGGCGAGAGTGCGTCCTACACAACGAAGCTGTTCAAGAAGAAGCAAGAAGATGGAAGCTTAGAACGATTAGATCTACCAAGTGTAGATCCCAAAACTTTCCAAGAATCAGTACCTGCTGGCTGTTGCGTGGACGTCGAGCTTCGTTGCGATGGCTATGCTTTCCAGGGAGGTAAAGTTGGTCTTCGATTCTTGGCTGAGCAGCTCTTCATACTCTGCTGAAACTTTCGTCAAAAACTTCGGGAGATACTAATTCTTCGTGTACAAAAATCTTCGCTGTCCATAAAAGAAAAAAGACAATTGTTACAAGCAAAGGAGCCACTTTGTTTTACAAAATGTGTCTCCAGCCTCCTAAAACTTCCTAAACCTTTCTCACATACCGGTTCCTCCAAAATCTACATCCTCTTTTCGACAAAACTTTGGTGCTGGCTATTCCTCCGGTTGACAACAGTTTCACCTGGCTCGCATGGCAAGATAGTGATGCTCAGCACTTGATTCACTACCTCGCCAAAGCGGCAGCACTGCCTTCTCGGGACCTGTCGAGGAGATCTTAGAGAACTCTAGAAAGAAAAGGCCGGGAGATTTACCTTGAACCAATTGTTGCTCAATGGCCTGGTGACGACTCGGATGGTGTCAAAGTCCGGAGCTTTCGAGTGGCCCATCCCAGGTAGCAGTAGCCTCGACCAGCAGTAGTTCTTACATTCCTTGGCAGATGGACTGTAGAGCTTGTACTCACTCACAACTCCGCCGTCTTCGCTGCTCATGGTGTTATTGAGGAAGAAGAGGAACGGTGGCGACGGTAGCTTAACTTTGCGAGTGTCCAGATCGAACTCGGTTGGACCGTTCCTCGAGTTCCAGGCCTTGAATGTAATCTCTGCCTTCTCTAGTACCCTGGGATAAACTAGCTGATCAAATACCTGGACAACGTAGCCAGTCGAGATTGAGAACGTGAAGCCTTTGTCCTTGTTATAGCCAATCGTCTGCTGCAAGAAGTTGGACGAGTCCGATGTCATTGCCTTGATCAGCAGCTGCAAGCTCTCGAGGCGGGAGAGCTCGGGAAACACTGGATCCATTGCTTCAATGTGATGCATGGACACAAAAGGTGTTATAGGATGAGCACTCAGCAATCCCAGCGGGTTTCCACGTATATCCATCTGCAAAGGACGAGATTAAAAAGACAAGAAAAAGAAACTTTTTGTACCTGATGGAAACCCGAGTGTTTCGTGAGTGGGACACCGAGCTCCAAAATGCAAGCGTACAGCCGATCGTCACTCCCAGTGAGCTGCGGATAGTGCTCCAAGCATCTATCCTGCGATCGTGCCAAAGCCTTCGCGAGTGGATAGCTGATGGCAATGCCCCCAC